TTTTTTACTGATGAAGGTAAATTTATTACTTGTTTCGAATGAATGAAGATGCTCTTCTTATTGATAATAGAGCTAAAATGAGTTATGTGAAAAACCAGCCTCACAAAACCTTGTCATCTTACCAACTAAATACATATATATTTTTATTTTTAGATTCAAGGTAACAAAACAAGTTATTCATGATACAGATATAGCATACAGTATTCTATAGCAAAACGATATCTATGCTTTTTCATACCGTAACGTATAGTAGTATGGAATATTAAAAAGAACTATTATATTGCCTTTTTCTTGGAGAAACTATTCTTTCTTCAAGTGTACGATGAGATGTCGTCTTTTGCTTATTTTTGCGAGTACGTTATCGTTTCAAGGCTATTCAGGTATGTATAAACAATGTATTAATGCTTCATACGATAGGTCGTGGTGAAGTTAGTGTCTTGTAGATATGTGAAATATCGTTTTAAATGACCAGAAGATGATTAATCTGTAGCTCGCAGAAACGAGCAACAGGAGCTATGGAATGGGCATATACAATGGTTTCTCAAAGTGTATGTGAACAATGTTTATCGTTTCAATTTTGTTGTTGATGTCTACGTAAATTTATTGAATTACTCGATGTTTAATGATGAGCATTGATGAAAAAATGATAACTAAAACACTTTTGATTGTAATACAATTTCATTTATTAAATAAAATATTCATATAATTATATATAATTTGAATTGCTCTGACTATTTTTGATAAGTATCGTTGTTATATATCATAACCTATATAACGAAAAAATTCATTATTATAATAAACTACTTCAGTTATAGATTCAACATGAACTATTCACTTGATTTATTAAATAGAATTCATGCGTTATATAGATACAATTTAAGAAAAATACAGCTTTACTTTTAAAATTGCGAAAACATACAATAAAAAAATCAATGTAGTAAAACTTATTTAGAAAATAAAATGCAGATGAATTCGAGCAATCTATAATCATGGATGACTACCACCACCATATCTTCCTATTAAAAAAAAAACATTATTAATAGACGTCATGTTGAAATTGTTAATCAAAAATATACCTGGTCGAAAACCACTACCACCTTCATGTCCACGTGGTGAATGAAAACCATTATATTGATGATCAGTGTTATTGATGGATGATGCAAAAGTTCCATCAAAATGAAATGTACTATTACCTAACGGTGGTCTTTGATCACGATGGCCTCCATGTGGACGCATTTGAACCGATAGGATAGTTACAGCAAGAATTAACTAAAAACAAAGAATAATATTGAAGAATGTAAATATTTAATACACTCACACAAGAAAGAATTGTGATCGATTGCATCTTGATAATTATTAAGTATCTCACAACTGCATGCTTTTTTAGTATGTTGACGATCGTCTTTTATAGGTGAATGTTGCACACGCCCTGTTGATTTTCTGCCTTCCTTTTATCCCTATGTACTTTTTTTGTTTTTATGATGATAAAAAAGTCAGTGGTTTTTTTGAATAGCTAAACGATTACTGACTCATTATCCTACAAAACTATGTGTAAACAGAATATGAATCATGTCATATAGATACAGGTTTTTTTCTTCTTGACTCATTCTATTCTAGAAGTCACCGTCAGAAAATTAACATTAAACAGATCACTTTATTTCGTCTCATGATGACTCATCCTTTGTTAATTGTGTCCTAGTTAACGCCCATCAGATGCAAAATTTTTGAAACTCGGACCAATCTGATGAACTCGAGTATCAGTTCTTCTGATTGAGATTATGTCTCAATTCATTTGTAACAAAGACTATCGTGTTTATTTTCTAAAACATAGTTGATTTAATGATAAAAAAAATAAGGAAATAGATAATTAAATGAACATAAAATATAACGTTCATTGTTTATAATGTAATTTGTTTGTACTGTACGATTACATTTGATAAGAAATTTAATATTTAATAATTCAATTTTGTCATTTTCATAGAAAAGACGAGATAATATAATATCGATTCCTTTATAGACAATGATTTTCGTTTACATACTTTCACTTATGCCTCTTCTGACTTATGTTGCCAATAAAAACGTCGTGCAATGGATCAATTATCCTAGTCGAAGAATACGGTCCATATACGGCCATTTATAGTGAAATATGGCATGTTAATGGGCTCGTGTTCCTCCGTAAATACAGAACTAATTATACTGAGAATGTTATAACGAATCAATGCGGCACAAAAATAGCTGTTTATAGTAATTGACAGTGATCCATAATGGTTGATCTGTGTATGAAAGAAGAGAAGTGTCATACAGTGGCTCGCAAAAATTATTCAACCAGGTTTATTTTCATTTTTTTCCGTTGTTGTCAATACTAAGAAGAATTCAAATAGTGATTTGAGTAGAGAATTTCATGTCCAATAAGGATTTTTGAAGATGAGAATGAATGCGAGTTTCCCAAAATATAGAATCTTTGAAAAACTTCGAACTAAGTCTTTCTACTTTCTAACATTTGCAATTTTAATTCTATTTTAATCATCTAGCTCTTTACAATGATTTTTCGACTAGGATACATCAACCTTACGAAAAGCATCGAAATGATGTTTCATATACCAAATAACACAAAAAGGAAACGACTTTTGTGCCTTGCATCAAGTTGATGCATTATGATCAATAAGAAACATCGCACCGAGCTAGCAAACATTTCATTTTGTAGAAAATTGTTTGGTCTATCATTCTAGGTGATTGAAATAGAATTGTAATTACAAATTCTATGACCTGAAAAACTTAGTTTTAGGATTGTTTAAAGATTCTATCTTTTTGGAAACTAGCAATCGATTTCATCTTCAACAATTCTAGTTTGAAATAAAATCTTCTACTCAAATCACTATTTTAATTTTTCTTAGTGTTGACGGTAGCTGCCAAAAAAAACTTAATTGAATAATTTTGAGAACAAATGTATGTATAGAGTTATCAAACTTAAATCGAGAGATTAAAAACGTTGCTAAAAAGTAAGAGATAGATATGAATATGTTAAATTTCATCATAGCTATGTATGAACATTACGTTTATGAATAACAAGAAAATCATGTGTGCACAAAACGAGTTTACTTGAACATAGACAATTTCTGCACCTCCATTCATTTATAGTTTTATCCATACCTTATTATTGATATATTGATGATCTTTATAATTAAGTACATCATCCCTATCTAAACTCGTTTAGATCTAATAAAGCATGACTTCTGTGCATGGAATGTTCATTTATATTTAATCGAAAATAAAAGATATTTGATAACAATGGCTACCGTTACATTTAATTACCTTTTCTCAAGTTTTTCTTTATTGTCAATCCGAAATGGATTAGAATATAATTTCGATGTAGACTTTATCCGTTAGTTAAAATAGTTTTCTCTAATAGATCATTGTGTGAATGAATTATTAGAAAAACACAGAATAAAAACAGACAAGACATTCAAACATGAGGTTGTTTTATGCTGCTCGATATATTTCACTTGCTTTTAGATATGAAAATATACGTTTTTTAGCATTTTTTATCTTTTGATTCTTTGATCATCTCATGATTATCAATATACAAACATTGTATCTTCTCTCATCTAGAATAAAGATAATATATGGTTTTAATTACAAAACAAACAATTTGAAAATGTATCGGACTTGTCTAATTAGAAGTTATAAAGTACATGTTCATCTAGACTTTCTTGAAATCAAAAGATGATCTATATGTTTCTTTTTTGTTGAATTAAATAAAATTTTCATCTTGTTAGTCGACTACATCAATGCAAAGGACAAGTGGCGGTAAGGCGATTTTTTCCGCCCCCAACATTTTTTGAAAAAAATTACATGGTTAGAATTAGCATCAAATTCTGAACAAAACTATGTCTTTTTTTTTGAAAAGAAAAAAGAAAATTTTGCCTCAGTATCTCCCAGGAAACAAAAAAACACATTTTTTTTTCCTCCCTCCAATTTGATCTAGATATAGGTTATCGACCATGCTGATCACGAATATAAAGTTTGTTTTGCATAAAAAAGTGATTTAAACGAAAAAACAGCTTATTCTGGGAAAGGATGCTTTTTTAGCCTCAGTCCGAAAATCACTACCTTTTAACCCTAAAAGATAGTTTGGAATAGTAATAATACGTTATATATGTGTGGAAATTATTGTTCTATGAATTCCTGATAGAATAATGACTTAACAAATATATATTCCCAGTTTATTTGGTTAAAAACTGGCAAAAATGGGAACAAAGACCTATATACTCTGAAGTATAGGCCAATTTTTTTCCGAGCCACTTTTTGATCCAATGAGTTATACTTATAGATCGATGCAGTTTTTCATGCTCTATCCGAATATGACTTCAAAACGAAGAAAAAAAATGAAGAAAATGCTCAAAAAATGGAAACATTAGAAAAAGAGCAGAAAAGTCATAAAAATGGCTAAGTATTTTCAGACTATGGCCAATAAAAAATAGTTTTGAGACAAAATAAATATGACATTCGGAATTAGAATGCAAAACTACATCCCGTAGCATAAATTCTATTTAAAAATTTTTCGATCAAAATTCGATTCCTGGTCCCCTCCAGTGCTTTTCTAATTTAATTTTGTTTGTGGTATCCCTTAGTCGAATTTTTGTGAAAAAAAAAATTTTAAGTAGAAGGGTGGGGTGTGGGTGTGGGGTGGGTGGGTGTGGGTGTGGGTATGGGTGAGTATCGATTAGCAGAAAATCAACAGCTATATTCCATACCCACACCCATACCCTTCTCATTTAGGATATATCTAGTATCTGTTGGTTCGCAGAAAAATATTCAACGAGCTGAACACAAGAAAAATAATGTTCTTTTGCTTAAAGAGCTCAAAGAACAGCTCAATGCAGCTGGTGATGCGAATGGTAAGACCTATTTATTAACTGCTGCGTAAGACTATCAAAAGAAATTAGACATAATCATCTTGTTAAGCCTTTTATTACAGAACTGCTACCAAATCAAAGAGAATTTCTAATTTGAATGTATCTGGCATAGCCGAGTATCTCGAGTGCATGAATGTTATGACATATGCTTTGCATGGTAGAATTCTATTCTGATGTCATTCTCAGTTGAATATCTACATATATATTGTTACATTTGTTTCGTATACTTAGGAGTGAATAGCACTGTTGTGAATGGCTTTTCACAGGCTTTTTCTTGTCAACACCTAATAGATGTATGGGAAAACGGTATTTTTATATATGAAGACTTGAAAAAATCATTTATCCTTGCCGATACATGTTATTAGGATGATTCATCCAAAGTATGGATTAGTTATAATGATCGAGAATCATCCAAGAATAAAACATAATTACATCTAACGGGAACAATTAGGTGATGCTATGTTCTGGAAGTTGAGTGGCGATCGTCAAGCGGAACTTGTTAGTGCTGTATATACTGCATTGAAATAAGAAAGTATCTACTGAAATAGAATTAGCAATATGGATGATGTATTTCCAAGAGGCACAAGAGCATACGCGCAATGTTTTCATTGTACAGTGCGACAATTAATAACCTAAATCCTGTTGCCACGTCATATTCAATCAAACTATTATGACCATGAACATCATTTATATTATCATCAATGGTACGCTGAATTAACATAACTTTAGTCAAAAATTAACTATGAATTTTCAATGTTCGTATTCTATCTATTAGGTGAAAAAGACTTAAGGGTGGTGATATCGTCTTTTTTCTTTGAAACCTATTCCTAAAGTAGAGAAAATCGATTTAGCTCAGTCTCAAAGATTTGAAGTGTTAATAAACATGCGAACCCAATTATTTTGAAGCGCTTATGTGCTTTGCGATTTTGAGGCATAGTTGAAGCGTAGTTTCGTTCGTGCAGATTTGTGGTAATTTTATGCCATTCTGATAGAATGCACCATTTTCGAGTTCATGATCAGGAGTGTTAACGACATGCAAGATAGAATCAGCTCCAAATTCAGCTGGTCGACCTCCTGGACCATGTTTATTGATATCGGTGGCGCAATAACCTGGGCAAACAGAATAAACGAATATTTTTTTCACATCGTAATATTGACGTGCTTCAATTCGAGTGAGAGCAATCAATGCCGCCTTGGAAACAGCATACGTCAAATAGGGCATATCGGTAGGATACCCGCATTTTTCAAGATTATTGGACTCGAAGGCTGAAACAAAATCTTCGATAAGACAATCGAGCTGTTCTGTGGTTAACGTTACTGATGTGTATTTGTCTTGAAGATCTTTCGAAACATAACGTAATATCATTGGCCCTGCTCCACTGACAACATTGATAACACGGCCATCATTACGTAGAAAAGGAATTAAGTTTTCATTGAGTATTTTGACTCCGTAATAGTTGGTAGCCAGTGTTTCTCGAACAGCCTCAATGGAATCATCTTTTGGCATAATAGCCGCATTGTTGATAATTACGTCCAACTGACCCCCGTACTTTTGTCTAATTTCATTGGTAGCATAAGAGATGCTCTCTTTTGACGATGTATCTAACTGAAGAAGGTATACGTTTGTTGGAGAACCCAACTGTGAAAGTGCGTCTTGTCCACGTTTCAAATCACGACTACAAAGAATAATAAGATCGTTTCTGGTCGATGATGGCTGCTGAATAAGTTTCTTGATGACTTCAAAACCAATGCCTTTATTTGCACCAGTAACCAGAATAACACGTTGCAGCTTCATTGTTGATGACATGTTTCATATGAAAATACACGAATATCTGCACACGTTGTTATAAAGAAAGAAAAAAAAACTATTGTCGTGATAAAGAGCAGTTTTGCTCGTTCTTTCTTGCCGCATTACAATACGACATTCTTTCCAGTTACACGTGCGTTTTGAGAGAGCGAATGACGAGATTAGTTTCACACAATATGCCCTAAACTGCTTCGTTTAGAAACGCAAATTTTTTTCGACAATAAGCAATTTTAGAAAAATCAGTTCGTCATATATTAACATCTTTCAAAAAGCAAAAAACTGCTTTTCTCATATTGAATCAACATTAGAAGTAATCAAATCAAATAAAACGATATTCTCATCTTGTTCAAGGTTGACCAACTGAGAAAGTGAAAGTCAATAGCGTCTTTTCCAAGGAAAAAAAGCTGAGCTTTTTTTTCAGATTCTATCAGTTTTTAATCAAAAATTTTAAAAAAAACTCAATTTTCAATCAAATTTATCAAAAATATCGATTTTTATTCAAATTAATCAAAATATATTGTTTTCTTTTCATATAACCATGCTTTATTTCGATCATAAATTACTAGGAATAACCGTAGATTCGTTGTGAATATAATGGAAACGCTGCAATGTTACTTATTTCTTGCTTGTTCCTTTGACTGCAAAAGAATTCAAGATTAATATCATGCGAAGCAAACTCGAAATAATTAGATGTAAAACAATGAACAGAGGTATTTAATTTTAGTCTGTGAAAAGAAAAACGATAGGGTGGGATGTTCGTATATATATGTCATCGTGAACGACAGAACGAGAGAAAAAATTAAAAAAAGGCAAAAGAACTTCTTGCAGGGAATCTTGTTTCAAAAAAAAATTTTGCTTGGGACTACATCATACCCTACGCTCATACTCTAGGGTAATACTCAATTTTTTGCGTTCTTTCTAACGATACCAATCTCTTACGCGTTAGACTTTAAGAAAATTTTTTTCGACCGTTTGATATGTCAGAAGAATCATTATTATACAGCTTTAACTTCGATCAACTAGTTTAAATTTGCCAACTTTTTTATAAACTTTTGATCAATATTTTCTATTACAACATATTTACTTTAGTAACTAGATATCATTTAATATTGTCTAATGTGAACAATTTTCGTACAAGTCTATCTGAAAAATTCCTCGAATTTGATAGTTTTTGTAAATAACAATAAATCTCTCTCTTCAATTCCTTGGAAACCATTATGTATGACACTTTAACTCCATTTTAATTAAGTTCTATGCTACGCTAAAAAGTAATATAACGCTATGATATTTCATCTTTTCATCTTATAGGGGTTTTACTGAGAGCTTCTTTTTATGAACTCTTATTTTTTTAATTATGATGAAGCCTTATGGTAATTCATTTTCTATATTCATAAATAAAACGCTCTCGCTAAGAAATTACATATATTTACTAGTTTTTTTCTCATTATCATCTGAGAAAACCAACAAGACATTGTATTATTTCATTACATTGATGATAACATATTTTCTTAAATCTTTTCATTCTTCATAATGGTCGATATATTTTATATCATTATTATTCTTCAAGAGAGTGTATTAGCACTAGCTTTGCTCGTAACTGTTATATATTTAATTTCAATCATACTGATTCGTCAATTTCATCATCGAAGCAACATACTTATAGTCAATATGTGTTTTACTGTACTCAGCACTTCAATCTATTTTACTGTTTTTATCTCAATGTCAAATTTTGATATTCGACGTTTATATGTTTCACGTACGTGTACTCTATTATTTTATGCATATAATGTCGCCGGTGTTGCAGTTCCATTTGCTTTTGTTACTTTTTCCATTAATCGATTATGTCTTATGGTTTATCATGCAAAACCTTTCTTCAAGAAAAAACGATGGTTGATTATATGTATTATATGTCAATGGATAGGTGAATTTATTATTTCATTGCCATCTATTTTTCGAAAAGAACCAGTAAGTTTATGATTATCTTTAGTTTATTTTCTTATTAATTGAACAATATTGTATTCGATAAGAAAATGAAGAGTTGCTTAGATATATAAACGGTAAGTCACAAGTTATCTACATTCATTTGCTTTTTATCGGATAAGTATCAACTTAATTCTACTGAAAATATTTCGAAAAATATTCTAGATAGTTTTATTCAAATCTTCTTTCAAGAATGGATTTTTGCCTTAAGCAATCATGATTAAAAAAATCTGTGAGATAATTAAAAAAGAAAAATAAATGTTCAATTGAACTGAAATAAACAAAATGCATTCAACTGATTTTAATATTAAAAAGTCATATTAGACACCGTAATCAATATTCATGATATAAATCATTTTATGATTAACATTAGATAATATATCTTCTTTGCTATGATAGATATATTAATAAATAAAATATCTTTAAACAAACACTCAATATTTATATTATAGTATTGTAATACTGAATTATGGGGAAGAATTTATACATGTATGATGGCTGTTTTTGTACCTTCATTTATCAATATTATGCTAAATATTGCTATATTTATTCGTGTTCGATCTGTTACTCGTCGTGTTCAACCTCGAACGAATAATACATCAGAAAATTCTAATCGTATTCAACAAGCAAGAATTAGTCGTCGAGAGATTTTTTTATTACGGCAAATGATTTTCATTTTTTTGACATTTATTATAGGTTGGACTCCTGTTTATATTGTTAATATTATCAATCCAATTCTGCACATTCATCCAATTATTTCTCAACTTAGCATATTAGTATGTGAGGTGTCTTTATTAAGTATCATTATAAATTTATTTATGTGGAATCATGAATTAAGACAATATTTCTTCAATAAAATTCGACATTGTTTTGGGTATATTTAGAAGTGTTATAAAACTTTATGTGATGAAAATTTTTTGTATAGATGTATTCTTAATCTAAATAAATGTATATGCTTGTAAATTGCTTTTAAGACTTTTTTTCTTTTGAATTAAATAATTTGCTTTAATGATAATCTTGAACATTTTTTGATAGTAATCAATAATTCATAATGATTTATTAACTAGTGAAGATCTTCCCAGATTGATGAATACGAAGACTGTATATGATCGTATTTTGATTCTATATGGTAAAAATATGATTCTTTAGCCGTATATTGTATCCACTTCCATCACCAAACTAGAAAACGAATTTATTCTCTTAAATTGTCTTCGATTCTATATCCTTTAGGGGTGGGATATTTACTTTACTTTTTAGTTACTTTACCAAAGTAAAGTAACTAAAATAGTTACTTAGTTACTAGTAACTAAGTAACTACATATTTACTTAGTTACTAGTAAATAGTAACTACATAGT